CCTACCCCAGGCCCTTGGGAAGGACTCGATAGGTGGACAAAAATGCCAAATCCAGTCTAAACATCTGGCTGACTGTGAAACCAACCTTAATAATAATACCACCGATGGGAATAAAGCACGGTCCCAGTTTTTGCAATAAACTGGCAGTCACCATGCCTGTTTTTCCAACATGCAATACATTTACAGACAACAACCATCTGTACCCATCCTCACATATAAATACCCAAGTCATAATTCTGCCTTCAGCATCCTATTTGAACTGAACACCGAAAGACACCACAAAATACATCCTGAAGTTCAAGAAGCTATTCCAAACTCGGTTTGAGCTTCTTCTCAATCCCCAGCCCAGAGTGAGCACACAACACAATGTTTATCTTTGTACATACACACACGTCCCAGTTCAGCTGTCACACGCTTTCTCAGGAAAGGAGGAAGAACAGCTAAGAAAATAGTCCTTCTGGCTTCCGAAAGACAAACAGCGCCTGCGAGTCCAAGAAAAGGTCTCCACCTCTCTTTTCTCCACTCTCTAAAAGGGCCAGCACACAAAGGCATCAGATACATACTCTCAACTCCAAGGAACAAGTCACTACAGTCCAGAAAGCTGGAACTAGCTAGGTTTACTAGTTTGGGATACTGAAAAGAGCCCTGAAATTTCAAAGCACAAACAGGGTGCCTCCATGGAATTCTGTGATTCCCAACATTAGCAACAAGCAAGGTGTTAATCAAACAAATTTACTAGCGTTCAGTGTGGGTCACCCAGCCCCACCAACCCCTCTTGAGAAGACAGGGTACGCAAGAGCAGAAAAAGCCCCACTGAACAGCTCTTTTAGCAGAATAGTCATCCAAAATGCTAAAATGTGGTTTATTTAACTTCGGTTATGTAAACAAACCAGAATTGCTTGGGTTCACACCACATGCTAAATTAATGTTTCTCAACCTTGGCAACTTTAAGAGGTGTGGAAGGAAGGAACACCTCTTAAAGTTGCCAAGGTTGAGAAACACTGTGCTGAACCATAACATTAAGCCACTGTTTGCATATAACAGCTGGGAGCACACACACCCTGTATTAAGCTACAAACAAAGCAAATCCATACATAGCTAGCTAATTTATTCTGGCCCTCAAACCTCCTAGATTTAATAACCAACCTGGGTTGGTGCGCTACTGTAGTCTCACTCCAGTTTTGCAGAATTTTAAGCAGCATCTCTTCAGCACGCCCAAAGTCTCCTCAATTCAGATTCAGCATAAATTCCTGCTTGGGGTCATCCGATACAATATCTTCCCTGAACCACATGTTTCCAAACGTACGGCTGACCTGCAATTCTTTTGGCGAGGCGTGCCCCGCAGCCAGCCACATAAATCATACTCTAAACGCCACTAAGCCGTCACACATTTTGGTTGGCATGGCAAGTTCTGCAGATCTCCCACTGTGCTTCACTAATCATGATTTGTGATCAGTGCGACAAGTGATCTCAGTCACATATTCCAAAGCGGCGTGAGAGACAAGGCTGAAATTTAATTTCAGGCTGCCATAGGCACATACCTATATGTTTACATGTGCGTGTACAGTATAGTTAATGGTCCAATTTGTGATTATAATGTATAGAGTTATAGTCAAGCTTCAGCACTAATCCTGGTCTAAATGGAGGCCTGCTATTCCAGTCCAGGAATCAGGACACACTCAGGAATATTTGGAAGGGGGAGGGAGGCAGTAAGCAACATGAGATTTTTTTAAAAACACATAAATGCTGCAACTTGCTCCCTACAATGACTTCCATGGAAGAAACGCTCAGGTTCTGAAGAAGTTGGGGCATAACTCCCACGAAACCTGTGCCTCTGAGCTTACACAGAATGCCACCCCCACCCACCCCACCGTGCTATGTCCACCTACCCTGCTAAGCCTCCCTTTGCTAAATCAACCACCCTGGCCAGGATTCACCCAACAGGCTAGCCACAAACCCCTCGGGCTCAGCTTGCTGGAGTCTGCAGGCCACCCTTCCCAGCCCATTTTGGACCCGGGCACTCCACGGCCCAAAAGCGAAGGGAAAATCTCCCACCCCACCCGGTTTCGAAGGAGACTCTGCCCCGGCTCCCGATTAGTTGAGCCGCAGGGCTGAAAAACCAACAGTGAGGGCGAAGAGCTTTTCTTTTCTTTTCTTGTATAATTTTACAGAAGATTTAAAAAAAAACATACAAACTAATCTAAAGTAAGAAAAAGAAAAAGAAAGAAATCAGAGAAAGAGAGCGGAAAGTGCAAGGAAGGAAAAAGAAGTAAAAGAAAAATAGGAAAGAAAGAAGAGACAGAAAAGTGGCTTCTGATCTTCTCTGCAGCAGCACAAAGATAAATTCACCTCTTCCTCTACGGCTACCATGTAACTCTCTCCTTTCCATAATCTCTCCTGTCTGATCATCAAAACCATAAATCCTAAATTGC